ATATATAATATTCATTATATTCATATTTCTCTCTCCTATTTATATTATATCCCTCATTTCTATATATAATACTCATATTTATGTATTTTATTTATTTTTTCTTTCTCTGTAATGCTTTTCTTTTCATATTTGTATTCTTTATTTATTTTCTTCTCTCAATATAATATAAATTTTCTTTTCTTATTTTTATTCTTTATTTATTCTCTCTTTCTCTCAAAAGATTCTTTATCTCTCTCTTTATAACAGTGTCATCTCCACCAGCATCGCCCTCTTCCACTATGCCCACCCAATTCCCCCACCTCCACCAAAATTCTGCCGCCGAGCTCAGTTCCATCGCCGTCGTCCTCCACTACTGTTGCCCCACATTTTGTAACTCCTTATTTTTGTTCTAACCCACGAAACCCTCATCTAAAACTCCTTAATCACAATAGCCAAACAGTTTTCGTTAACGAAAACTCATACTTAGTCGGCAAAATCGAAGAGAAACATCCAAAAATCGAAACTTACTATGTTCAATTCACCACCAAAGTAGACCTGTATAATTTGAATTTGAAGTTCACTTTGTTAAAACAGAAAAAAAACACACAAGTAGCTTTCTCTCAACAGTCAATAAGCATAACACACAGTGTGTTTTTAGAGAGAGAAAGAGCATGTTTATAGAGAGAGAGGATAGCGTCGCATTTCGAAGACGAATTTTAGTTGGGTGAAGAGAGGAAAACACATTATACACTGTTTTTAGATAGAGAGAGAGTGTGTGTGTGTGGGTGTGTATGTGTGTTGAAGAGAGGTGAATTGTGTGGAGTTTTTGTTCTTTTGATTGGAGCATTTTCATTTCAAGCAATGAAAAGAAGCACTCCGGTGAGGAAGCCTCACACGTCAATGACAGATCTGCCCACTTGGCCAAAAAATCTCCCCTTCGATTTTCAATTTTGGAGTTGATCATTTTTTATTTGGGGTTAATGTCAGCTGTTGGATGGGATCAGTAAGGTGGTGTTTGAGGGCCAAAACGACGTAGTTACAATTATGCTGTGTTTCATCACCCAAAACTACGTAGTTTAGGTCAATGTCTATTTGGGTAAATTCAACTTTTTAAATTTTTTTATTATTATTGAATAAAGAATATTGGGGGTTTTTTTTTTGTATTTTTACCTACCCCTCTGACAAAAAGCTATTATTTGCACTATTTTGAAACTACAGTGGTGGCTTTTGAACACCAAGGATGTTATTTGCACATTTTTGAAACTACTGGGGTGTTTTTTGCACTTACCCCATAGATGAAGGAACTAAACTACCCTAACTTAGGTGCTAAAATGTGCAATATTTGAGCATTTATCATTTGTGCATGTGCATTGGTGTTAGTGTGTGTGTGCGTATACGTGCGTTGCGTGTAGGGGTGTGTGTGCGTGCGCGTGCTTTGGGTTTGTGCTTGTGCTTGTGCCTTCCTATTTTTGTGTGTACATTTGTTTTTGTGTTTGTGTTCACGTGTGAGTTTGGTTGTGGTTGTGTTTGTGTGTGTGCATGTGTGCATGTGTTGGTGTGTGTGTCTGCGCTTGTGCTTATGCGTGTTGGTGTGTGTGTCTGCACTTGTGCATTTGGTGTTTGTGTGTTTTAATTATTGTGTTTGTGTTTATTTTTATTTGTGTTTGTGCTACGCGTTTGTGTTACGTATTAGTGTTTGTATTTGTGTTACGTGTTACGTGTTACGTGTTAAGTGTTAAGTGTTAAGTGTTAGTGTTAGTGTTTGTGTTTGTGTCTGTGTTAGCATGTTTCGTGTTTGTATTACGTGTTATATGTTTGTGTTATTGTTATGTGTTACGTATTTGTGTTGCGTGTTTTTGTTACGTGTTTGTGTTTGTGTTATTTTGTTTGTGTTACTGTGTTTGTGTTACTTTTATTGTGTTAGTTTTTGTGTTTGTGTGTGTTAGTGTTATGGTGTTATCGTGTGTGTTATTGTATTAGTGTTTGTGTTATTGTTATTATTTTTGTGTTTTTGTTTTTGTTTGTATTTGTGTTTGCGTTATTGTATTTGTATTTGTGTTTATCTGTGTTACGTGTTACATGTTTGTGTTTTTGTTTGTTTTTGTGTTTGTGTTAGTGTTTGTGTTATATGTTAAGTGTGTTCCGTATTCAGTTTTTAGTTTTCAGTGCTAGAGTTAATGTTTGTTTTTGTTTTTGTATTTGTGTTACGTGTACGTGTTTCGTGTTACGTGTCATGTGATAAGTGTTGGTGTCAATGTTAGTGATAATGTTACTACCATTTTTCTCTCTATTGTGGATGATTAGGATTTCTAGGGTTTCCTAGGTTTTCCTAGGGAAGAAGATGACGGAGGAGGGGCAAACCTCCTCACCGACAGGTAGTGTTCCACCTGCGGCAAACCCCTCTATTACTTGTCCATCATAGAGTTCACTACTGATTAATACAACCTCTACGGGTTTTACACCTCTTACGTATATAGTGAGAATCAAGGAAAAAATATCGTCGTTATTGAGGATGAAGATATTTTGGAAGAATTGAAATACTGGAAAAACTCTGTAGTGTGCTATGTGCTTGGAAGTAAACCATATTTTCTTTATTTCAAAGCCTACGTACAGAAAAAATGGCATAAGGATGCAGTGGTGGTATCAATGAAAGATGCTTTTTTTCAAGTTTGGTTTCCTTTTGAAGAGGATTTGCTTCAAGTATTAGCTCGATTCCACACTTTGTAGGGACGTGCCATTATTGTGAAAAAGTGGCATAAAAATATTCAACTAGAAAAGGATATATTAGCTACGGTTCCAACATGGATGAAGGTCTGTGATTTGCCAGTGCATGTATGAAGTGGTACTTTTATTTCAAAGATTGTATCCATATAGCAAAGCCAGTGTATATAGAAGATGTGATACAAAGTCGAGATAAAGGTTTGTATGTTCGAGTATTGGCGAGATGGAAGTTGATAGTGCATTCTTAGAGACCATACAAACAAAATTACATGGTCTACCTTGTAAATTGAAGGTTTAATATGAATGGAAGCCTCAGGTTTGTAAGTTGTGTAAGAAAATGGATCATATTGAAACTATGTGTCCACTTAATAAAGCTAAATCTCTTAAGCCGAAAGAGAAATGGGTGGTGAAGACAAAGAGTATTGATCAAGGGGTAAAGGATTTGATAAGTATTTAAGATGCGGATGTGCCAAATGATGTGAATGAAGATTTAGAAGGATTCACAATTCAGAAAAAATCAAAGGGAAAGTCGATGATTGGGATACCATTAATACAGAATCAAGTTATATCTGCAAATACTTTTCAAGTGTTTGATGAAATTACTGAAAGAGAAGAGGTTGTGAACACTGGGACAATTGATGGTGATGTGGAGAGGTTAGGTAATAAGGACTCTAATACTCCTATAGCTCTAATGGATAAAAGTAGTAATGAGAAGTGTCTGTAACAAAATGTTATGGAAAATATGGTATCTACACAGGAAGTAGTTAAGGAGACTCAATAGAATCAAAATTTACTGGAAAGTGTAGTACCTACACAGGAAGTTGTAATGGAGACTCAAGAGGAAAATGGTTAATATGAATGTAAAGAAGGGGATCCAGGTTCTCCAGGAGGGGGATCATCTGCTAAGAAACAGAAAAAAGAAGAATAAAAGGAAGGAAGCTAAAATTGATACAAGTGTGAGAATCACTAGATGAATGCTTGCAGGTGGGGTTGTACCACCAAATTATGTATCTCAATGATAGGGATGTGGAATGTTAGGGGGCTCAACAGGCAAATAATGCAGAAGGAAGTAATGACTGGTTGAGTGGTTCCTTAATTTTTTTGTGTGGATTGATGGAAACAAGAGTTAATGTTTCAAACTTTCAGAAAATCAAGAATAGGATTAGGCGTAACTGGGAGTGGGTTAATTATTATAATGCTGATGCAGGTGGCCGTATTTGGTGTGGATGTGATGCTTTGAAGATTGGGGTGGATATCTTTGTATCTAAGGGATCAGTTGATTCATTTAAAAGTGAATATCAAAGGGACTATTATAAGTTTCTTTGTTACTTTTGTATATGCTAAAAATGCTGCTCTGGAGAGAACACAGTTATGAGAGATTTAGAAGATATTGGACTGAGGGTTAATGGACCATGGTTATTATTGGGTGATTGGAATATAGTTAGGTTTAATAATGAGAAGAAGGGTGGTAGAATTCATCCTCCTAGGGTTTTTGTAGAATTTAATAACACAATTGATAAGCCGTGCTTAACTGATATGCCTACAGCAAATGGTGTTTTCACTTGGTGCAACAAGAGGTTTGGTAGTAGGAGGATATATGCTGAGTTAGATAGAAGATTGATGAATGAGGAATGGGCTTTGGTTTATCCTGATTCTTATGTTCTATTAACTCCTCCAATGACTTCTGACCACTGGCTCTATGCATAAATTTACCTATAAAGATTGCTTCAGGGCCAAACCTTTCAGGTTTTTACTAGTGTGGAATAAGCAACCTCTGGTGAAAGATATTGTGGCATCTACTTGGAATTCACATTTCAATGGGGACTCAATCAGAAAGCTACTATACAAGTTAAAGCTCTGTAAGAAGGTTGTGAGATAATGGAATATTGAGAAGTTTGGTTCAGTTTATGCAGAAGTTCAATCATGTAGAAATAACTTGGCAGAAGATCAAGTTTTACTGGTTACTGATCCAATGAATGGGGATTTGATTCAGATAGAGGATAAGTGTAGATTAAACCTGGAAGCTTCAATATCAAATGAAACTATTACTTAAGCTCAGAAATCAAGGGTTAGATATGTGAAAGAGCAGGATAGATGCTCCAAGTTTTTCTTTCAAAAGATTAAACAACATAGAACAAATAATAACATGACAACAATTCAACATGAAGGGGTTTTGATCACTGATCCTTCTATAATTAGTAAAATGCTTGTAAATCATCTTCAGAAGGCTTATTCAAGTGGTAATTCTAGGTTATCTGAACCTGATCAAAAGTATATAAGGAATCTTTTGGTTTTTTAAAATGTCTGTATCTATGTTAGAGGCTGAAGTTACAAAGGATGAGGTGAAAATGACAATTTTTGAAATAGGATCAGACAGAGCTCCTGGACTAGATGGGTTTACAGGTAGGTTTTTTAAATAATATTGGACAATAGTTGGAGATGATTTTACTGAAGCTGTGTTACAGTTCTTTAATAATCCTGTTTTGTGTAAAGGTGCGAACAACACATTCATTACTTTGATACAAAAGAAGAAGGATGCAATTCAAGTGGGTGATTATAGACCTATATCTCTATGTAATGTGTTCTACAAAGCTGTGGCTAAGATCTTAGCTAATAGATTAGCTAAGGTTTTGGGAAAAATTGTTGGAAAGGAATAAGCTGCATTTATACAAGAGAGAAGAATTTAAGATAACATTATTATAGCTGATGAGCTTATGAAGGGGTTTGGTGCAAAGAGGGCAAAACCAACTATGGCATGGAAAATTGACTTGATTAAGGCATATGATACAGTCCAGTGGCCCTTCTTGTTAAACTTATTAAAGCTGTTTAGCTTTGGGAATCAATGGATAAGGTGGATCACAGAGTGTTTATCATGTGTTTGGTTTTCAATTCTTATTAATGGTTCTCCTCAAGGTTGGTTTTTTTCAACCAGAGAGGGGTCTAAGGCATGGTTGTCCTCTGTCTCCTCTCTTGTTTACCCTGGTTACTGATTACTCCTCAGGGATGATGGACTGGGAAGCAAAGGGGTGCTGTGGTGCCATTAGAGGCTGCTGTGCAGGCTGGAATTCCTATTACTCATCAGTTTTTTGCTGATGACTTGCTGCTAGTGATTAGAGCAAATATGGGAAGTATTTTAACTGTGAAAAATTGTTGATACAATTTGAAAAAACTTCTGGTTTAGCAGTGAATAAGGACAAGTCTGAAATATATTTTACTAGTTCAGTTAGAAGAAGGAATTCCATTATCAGATCTCTGGGATGTAAGGTAGGGAAATTACATTTTACCTACTCGGGATTACCTATTTCAGATAAAATGTTGAGGAGAGTTGATTGTTTGAGCTTAGTGGATAAAATTATTGCTATTGTTTCCAGATGGAATGGGCTAGCTGCATCTGTCTATAGCAGGTAGAGTGGAGCTTAGCAAAGCTGTGATAATTCCCATGGTGCAATATTGGACTTTAGTTTATTCACTTCCTATTACTGTTTCAAGTTATATTGAGAGAAGAATGAGGAATTTTATGTGGGGTCATGTAGAAAACAGGAAAAAAAAAATGCATGGTTTAAGATGAAAGAAGATTAATGTTCCTAAAGAGGAGGGGGTTTGGGACTTACTAGAATTGAAGATATTGATATAACTGGCAAAATCTATCTTGCTTGGGATTTTTTGTTATCCAAGGATAGGCTGTGGGTAGCATGGTTTAGATAGTGCTATTTGAGAAGGGCTTCATACTGGAATGTTGTTCCAGGAACTTTTCTGCTGTGTGGAGGAGCATAATTAATGTCAGAGATTATATCAAGGTTAATTGTAGATACAAAATTAGTGATGGGCAGTATATCAAAGTTTTTCGGGAACTTATGCAAATGTTTAAAAATCAGGTGATACAAGGTGGGGAAGACAAGTTATAGTGGATTAATACTTTCTGTTTTAAAGCAGCATGGGAAGCTGCTAGAGTGAAAATTGAAGAGGTGGCTTGGGCTCATTTATGTTGGAGTGGGGGGAGGCCTAGAAGGTCAGTTCACTATGTGTTAGTAATGCAGAAAACAGTTATTTCTCAAGAATTTTTGCAAAAATGAGGTTTTGCATTAGCAGCAAGGTGTTATTTATGCTATATAGAGATTGAAACTTTGGACCACCTATTTTCTAGCTGTGTCTATACTTGGAAAGTGTGGGGTTCCCTTTCTAAAACCTATGGTTGGAATTTGCATAGAAGTTTTGGAGTTCAAGATTAGGCAGATCAATTTATTCAGAATTCTTAAAAAAGATATATCAAAAAGATGGCTAGAATAATATCACTGTTGCACTGTATTTTTTATGATGGGAGAGGAATAACATATTGCATGATAAGAATGCAAGAGAGGCTAAGGATCTAGCTAAAAGTATTATATAGGAGGTTTTAGATGTGTTGGGAGTTAATCTCCAAGATATTTTGTAACTATCTATTGCTTGCTAGTTTAGGTTAGTGTCCTTTTCTACGACTTTGTTTGTTTTGATAAGGGTATGCCCTCATTTGTTTCTATGTACTATTTTGTTTATATTCAATATACTCCTTTCATTTAGGGAAAAAAAAAAAAGTGTGTTTGTGTTATTGCGTTTGTATTTTCTTGTTTGTGTTTGTGTTTTTTTTGTGCTTGTGTTTGTTTGTGTTATAGTGTTAGTGTTAGTCTTATTATCTTTGTGTTATTATTTTTGTGTGTAGTGTGTAGTATGTTTGCGTTATTGTTAATATTATTGTGTTTGTGTTTTTTTATTTGTGTTAGTGTTTTTGTTATTGTGTTTGTGTTAAGTGTTAGTGTTAGTGTTACGTGTTAAGTTTTCAGTGTTGATGTTTGTTTATGTTACATGTTTCGTGTTACGTGATAAGTGTTACTAACGTGTTACGTGTTAAGTGCTACGTGTTTGTGTTACATGTTAATGTTAAGTGTTACATGTTAAGTGTTAGTATTGGTGCTTGTGTTACGCGTTTGTGCTTGTGTGTGTGCGTTGAGTGTTGGTGTGTGTGTATTGGGTGGGTGTTGGTGTGTTTTTGTTTGTGTTTGTGCTTGTGCTTGTGCCTGTGTGTTTATGTTTGCGTGTTTGTGTTTGCTTTTGAGTGTACTTGTGTGCGTGTGTTGGGTGTTGGTGTTGGTGTTGGTATCTGTACTTATCCATATTGGTTTGGTGCATGTTTGTATTTATGTTTGTGTATATGTTAGTGTTAGTTCTTGTGTTTGTATGTTTGTATTAGTGTTTTTGTGTGTCAGTGTTATTGTGTTTTCGTGTGTGTTATTGTATTTGTGTTAGTGTTAGTTTTAGTGTTATTGTGTTTGTGTTAATATTATTATATTTTTATTTGTGTTAATGTTATTATTTTTGTGTTTGTATTATTGTTATTATTTTTGTATTTGTGTTTGTGTTATTATGATTGTATTTTAGTTAGTATTATTGCATTTGTGTTTATTTGTGTTTGTGTTATTGTGTTTGTTTTTATTTGTATTTGTGTTATTGTATTATTGTGTTTGTGTGTTATTGTGTTTTAGTTACTGTGTTATTGTGTTTGTATTTATATGGTTATTTGTGTTTGTGTTTATGTTATTATATTATTGTGTTTGTGTGTTATTGTGTTTCACTTATTGTGTTATTGTGTTTGTATTTATTTGTGTTTATTTATGTTTGTATTTGTGTTTGTGTTTATTTATGTTTGTATTTGTGTTTGTATTTATGTTTGCGTTTATTTTGTGTTTGTTTGTGTTTGTGTTTATTTTTGTTTGCATTTGTGTTACATTATAAGTGTTTGTTTAGTGTTAAGTGTTAAATGTTAAGTGTTTGTATTTGAGTTTGTGTTTGTGTTTGTTATTGTTTGTGTTATTGTGTAAGCGTGTTTTTTGTTTCTGTTTGTGTTGTTTTGTTTGTGTTATTGTGTTTGTGTTTGTTTTATTGTGTTAGTGTTAGTTTATTTGTTTATTTTAGTATTTGTGTGTTTTAATGTTATTGTGTTATCGTGTGTGTAATAGTGTTAGTGTTTGTGTCACAGTTTGTGTGTTTGTGGTATTGTTATTGTGTTTATCTTATTATTTTTGTGTTAGTATTTGTGTTTGTGTTATTATATTTGTTTTTGTCTTATTGTGTCTGTGTTTTTTTGTGTTTGTGTTTGTATTACGTGTCATGTGTTTGTATAAATGTTACGTGTTAGTGTTAGCGTCTGTGTTAAGTGTTACGTATTAAGTGTTTAGTGTTGCGTGTTTAATGTTGAGTGTTTCATGTGTTTCGTGTTTAGTTTTCAGTTTTCAGTGTTAATGTTAATGTTTGTTTTTGTGTTTGTGTTACTACATGTATGCGTTTCGTGTTATGTGATAAGTGTTAATTTTAGTGATACGTGACGTGTTATGTGTTACGTGTTTGTTTTTTTGTTTCTGTTTAAGTTTATATGTTACGTGTTTGTGTTTGAGTTTGTGCATTACATGTTTATGCTATATGTTAGTTTTACGTTTTAAGTGTTAAGAGTTAGTGTTTGTATTACGTGTTACGTGTTTGTGCTAGTGCTTGTGCATGTGCGTTGGGTGTTGGTGTGTGTGCACACGTTTGGTATGTGTTTGTCTTGTGCCTGTTCCTGTGCCTTCTTATTTTTGTGTGTGTTTGTGTTTGCGTGTGAGTGTGGTTGTGTTGTTGTGCGCGTGCGCGTGCGCGTGTGTTGGTGTGTGTGTCTGCGTTTGTGCTTGTGCTTATTGGTGTGTGTTTCTGCGCTTCTGCTTGTGCGTGTTGGTGTGTGTGTCTGTCCTTATTCGTGTTGGTGTCTGTGTTTGTGTTTGTATTATGGTATTTCAATTATTGTGTTTATGTTTATTTTTTTTTGTATTTGTGTTACGTGTTACGTGTTAAGTGTTAGTGTTAGTGTTTGTGTTAGTATGTTACATATTTGTATTACGTGTTACGTTTTATATGTTACGTGTTAAGTATTAAGTGTTAGTGTTAGCATTTGTGTTTGTGTTTGTTTTAGTGTTTGTATTTGTGTTTGTCTTTGTGTTTGTCTTAGCATGTTACGTGTTATTTGTTACGTGTTTGTATTTGTGTTTGTCGTATTTTGTTTGTGTTTGTGTTATTTTGTTTGTGTTACTGTGTTTGTGTTAGTTTTTGTGTTAGTGTTAGTGTTTGTGTATTTGTGTTAGTGTGTTTTTGTTAGTATTTGTCTGTGTGTGTTATTGTTCTTAATTTTGTATTTTTGTTTTTGTTTTTGTTTTTGTTATTGTGTTTGTATTTGTATTATTATGTGTTATCGTTGTGTTTATATTTGCATTCTTATTTTTGTTTGTTTTAGTCTTTATCTTTGTGTTTGTGTTTGTGTTTGTGTATGTATTAAGTGTTGAGTGTTAAATGTTTAGTGTTAAGTGTTAAATGTTCCGCGTTTCGTGTGTTCAGTTTTTAGTTTTCAGTGGTAGAGTTAGTATTTGTTTTTATGTTTGTGTTACGTGTACGTGTTTCGTGTTATGTGATAAGTGTTAGTGTTAATTTTTGTGTTTGTGTGTGTTAGGCTTATTGTGTTTTCGTATGTGTTATTGTGTTAGTGTTAATGTTATTATTTTTTTTGTTTGTGTTTGTTTTAATGTTATTATTCTTATGGCTATATTAGTGTTATTATTATTTTTTATTTGTGTTTGTGTTTTTGTTATTGTGATTGTATTTGAATTATTGTGTTTGTGTTTATTTGTATTAGTGTTTGTGTTATTGTGTTCATGTGTTATTATATTTCAATTATTGTGTTTGTGTTTATATGTTAATTTTTGTTTATATTTATATTTATTTGTGTTTGTATTTATTTTTCTTTATGTTTATATTTAAGTGTTTTTGTGTTTTTGTGTTCGTGTTTATTTGTGTATGTGTTATTGTATTATTGTGTTTGTGTGTTATTGTGTTTCAGTTATTGTATTATTGTGTTTGTATTTATTTGTGTTTGTGTTTATATGTTTATTTGTGTTTGTGTTACATGTTAAATATTTGTTTAATGCTAAGTGTTTGTATGTTATGTTTTTATGTGTTACGTGTTATATTTTTGTGTGTTTACATGTTAGTATTACGTTTTTGTGTTTGTGTGTTATGTTTTTGTGTGTTACGTGTTATATGTTTGTGTGTTTACATGTTAGTATTACGTATTTGTGTTTGTGTTTGTTGTTATTTGCGTTATTGTGTTTTTGTTATTATGTAAGCGTGTTTTTTTGTTTCTATTTGTGTTGTTGTATTTGTTTTATTGTGTTAGTGTTAGTTTTTGCGTTTGTGTGTTTGTGTTAGTATTTGTCTATGTTAGTGTTATCGTGTGTTTAATAGTGTTTGTGTTTGTGTTAGTATTAGTGTTTTTATGTGTGTCATTGTGTTTGTGTTACTGTTAGTATTATTGTGTTTGTGTTATTATTTTTATATTTATTTTTGTGTTATTGTTA